CCATGAGTGCAGTGTGAAGTCAGTGAGGTCATGTGCACATGAGTGCAGGTGCCCACAGAGGCTGGGGTGTTGGTTCCTCCTGCAGCTGGAGTTAATGGGTGGTGATGAGCCACCTCACATAGGTGAGAGGAACAAAACTCTGCTCTTCCATATGAGCTACCAGTGCTCTTACCCACTGAGCCATCTCTCCAGCATGATGATGAGTTTTAATTGTTAATCTGACACAGTGTAGAACCTGGGAAGGCTTCTCGTGAGGGATTGCTTAGATGAGGTTGGCCTGCAGGCACATCTGTGGGGGGACTGCTTTGAGTATGTTGGTAGAAGTCTATCGCAGGCAGCACAGTTCCTGGTGTTTTGGTCATGATTGTGTAAGACTGGAGAAAATGAGCTGATTAGTCAGCACACACAATCCCATGTGCTTTCTGCTCTTGTTTGTGGATACGATGACTTTACTGCTTCAAGCTCCTGTTGCTTTGACTTTCTGCTATGATGGACTCTAACGTGGAACTGTGAGATAAAATACCCTCCTTGTCCTTGTCCTTGGTCACGGTGTTCTATCACAGTGACACAAGTGACACTGGGACACATAGGCTCGATTTTGCTCAGGGATTGTGGTTTGTTGTATTCTTTCTGTCTCTGTAGAATTCTCATTTTGTTCTCACTGTTTGTGGACCGTACAAAGAGCCAGCCATTTGCTGTTACTTCCATGTTCCCCCCTCAGATGCACAAGAAAGTCAGCACGACAAAGACAGCAGAACATCAAACCAGGGAAACCCAGAAGCACACAGGTGACCATGACATCTTGTTTCCTACTAGGCAAGACATGTCCTCCTGTGAACGCCAATGTTCTGGTTACATCACAAACATTTACACAATACTTTCTTCTTTTCTACCTTTATTAATTGTTCTGAGATAGGATGTCACTATGTCGCTCGGGCTGGCCTCCAGTTTGTGAAACTTGTGATCCCTCTGCCTCCAGCTCTCAAATGCTGGGTTACAGCTGTGTGTCCCCCAGCTTCTGCCTCCTTCTTATTTAAACCAATTTCCTTCTGCAGGTGAGTTTTTATTTTTTAAAAACCATTATCTCTTGGAAATCTACATATTTGTTATAATAATTTTATTAAATTATGTTGTAATTAAAATATTTGCTTAAAAATATCCTTGTGGTCACGATCCCCTGAGCAAATTGAGAGCATGGGAAGAGGGGGGAGGGAGCTACGAGAATGAGAAGGGAAGAAGAGGAAGGATGCAGAGGTCATGAGGGAGCAGAAAGGCTGAGTCAGGGGAAGAATAGAAGAAAGAGTATGTGACAGGTAGGGTTTTAGTTGGCGGGTTGTGTTAGGGGAGGAAGGAAGGGAGAAGGGAACTGGGATTGTCATGTAATTCAATCTTGTTTGTAATTCAAATAAAAAAATGAAAAAAATCCCTACATTATGGCACATTGTGAGGCTGCCCCAGCATGTCTGCTAAGCCCTGTGCCTGCCATGGAGTGAGCACACACACACACACACACACACACACACACACACACACACACACACACGCTTGTGATACCCCACATGGTAATATAAAAAGGCTGTTGTGGTTGCTCAGACCTGGAACGTCAACACACAGGCGGCCAGGACCTCAGTGTTCATGGGAGTTTGAAGCCACCCGGTGTTATAGGGAGAATAAGGCCAACCTTGGCTACAAAATGATATACTACCTTAAACAAAACAAAAGCAAACAGTCAAAAAACCAAACCAACAAGCTAACCAACCAAACAAACAAACAAAAAAAACCAACCAACCAACCAAACAACAACAAAAAAAACCAAAACCAAAACAAACTACAAATAGTTCTTTGGGCAAAAATCCTGGCTAACCCCCTACTGTTGTGGTTGGAAGCACAGCTTACATCTCTTTCTGCTTTTCATTCTCCTGGAAGGTTCTGGAGCTCCACATGTCTACACCTACATAAAAGAATTAATGCTTCAGAAGATTCTGTTGGCTCTCTGACTGGCAGGTAAATATCCGACTCTTGAAGACTGCCCTGCCTGATATATATATATATGTGTGTGTGTGTGTGTGTGTGTGTGTGTGTTTTGGTTTTTCCAGACAGGGTTTCTCTGTGTAACAGCTCTGGCTGCCCTGGTACTTGCTCTGTAGACAAGGCTCGAACTCACAGAGATCCGCCTGCCTCTGCCTCCTGAGTGCTGGGATTAAAGGGGTGCGCCACCAATGCCCGGCCCTGCCTGATATTTGATCAAGTTTCTTTACCCACTTAAAATATCCATCCCTGTCTCAGTGTTTAACTGAGATATCATTAATGTGTTGTGAAGTCATATTATAGACCACATTTCAGTAGTTC